AAAATATGTATAAACCTACCAAACTAATAACAAGATGCATAACATGAATCCCACTACAAGTCAGCTTCCAGGTCATGATCATAAGCCTCCAGGTAGATAGAAGACTTGAATTCCTAATGTCAAGTTCCTGGCTACCAACACTCCTATGCAGGTAGCCATACAGAGGATGCGTAAAGAGTCCGACCCTTCCATCCCTGTAGCATCCATTGGCCATCCTGTCCCACCATAAAGTCACTGTGTCTGTGGTACAGATCCTTCGCCTTGCATTTCAAGTAAGTCAACAGTTTAGGGTCCAGAGGACGCTGCACAAACCCCGCCCTCATGGTCCTAGCCAGCCACTGCTTGTGCGTCTCAGGTCTCTCTATTCTCTCAGTGCCCTCACAGGCCACAACATTCATTACTTCCCGCCCGAAGATCTCTTTCTCAAACATCAACCTTATTTCATCTTCTCGGGGAATACTTGCATCACATATATCGAAGAGTCCAGAGTAATAAAAGAGTACCTCCTTGAACCGCGTGACAAAGAAAGGAGCATTGTAGGTTCCATTGACAATGGAATGGAGAAACATATCTGGATTTATCCTCCTAATCAATTTCAGAACCGTATCCCTTGGATTGTTCACAACAACTGTCTCATCAAGTAGGTTCTTAAACCGGTATTGAGAATTAACAACAACACTCTCATTGGGCCTAATCTTGAGATCCTCAATTCTTATAGTCTCCCACTTCTGTGCGATGGCATTGTACTCAAATGGAACATTAACCTTCTCACAGAACCTAGCCAAGCGGCACCCTGTATTCCGGACTGCTTCTGCTGGACGGAAGCCACGTTGAGGAAAGTCTATCCCTGTAATACGTAGTTTGGGAGGACCTCCAGGTAACTCTGACAGGCGCATGATGAGAGCAAGAAACTGAAATCCATAGAAAATACCAAAGTCAATAATATGGAGTGTTGTTACTTTTTTTCCCTTTATCAACTCCAAAATGTTGTGGTTTGCAAAGATAAATGCAAACTTTAGGAAAGGACAGGCTGAAATGTATAGTTGATAAGATTTCAGTATATCAGCAGCTGATTTTCTTTTGGAACTCAAAGCAGTATAGATCTGAGTACCAGTTCCAGCCATGCGTGCTTCAAGGGCATCAGCAAATATATGAGCTAATCTCTGTGATCCATCACCAAACTGTGAAGAGTGCTGCCTGATCCGCTTCAGTTGCCTATTAGCAGTCTTGATATCATTAGATGAGACAGCTTGTGCACATACAATCAGCAGGGTCCTCAAATCAACTACTTCCTTCTTATTTTCCTGTTGTTTCTTGCCACTAGTCTTTCCACCATTAGATCCATTTGTTTGCTGTTTCTGTTGCAATGTCTTACTTTGCCCATTCTGCAAAGGCTGATCAAGAGTGCATGAAGGATGCTGGTCTTTTCTGACACCACAAATTTCTAACTTATCAAACATTTCTAACAGCTCATTCTCGTCCACACAAACTGCTGACTGTTTTTTGCTCCTCCATTCCTCTAACTCTTCATCTTCTCTCTCGTGATTCTTCTTTACTGTCAAGCGAGTAGGTGAATGCTCCCTATCATCTTGCTCTGCCTTAACAGCTGTCTTGATTGTCTTTTCCTTCATCTCTGGTGCTGATGCAATGTTCTCCACAGCAATAGTCAGAAGATTAGCTTTAGGAAGAAACTTACTAGCTTCCTCTACTCCTTTGTTGAATTGCAAGGCCAATTCACTCTCGCTAAAAAAATTTGGAATCACAAGCTCACTAACAGAAGAGCCTAACACACGATTACCATTGCTAGAGAAATTATTTTGAGAGCTGAGAGATGATGGCAAGTTAGAATTTGGAGTAGACTGAAAAACAAAGTTTGGAGGAATAGGTGTTTTCAAGAAAGATGGTCTACTGCTATTTTCCAAAAAATCAACATTCCATGGGAGATCAATCGGGCTGCTAGTGCTGCCACTGGAACTGCCATAGCTATTCTGATCACTATAGATACCCGAGGAACAATTATCAGGGCTCTCAGCATCTTGGTAACCACAGAAAGGGGTTTGGGTTTGATCAATAGGAGGGTACTTCTCACCAAGAACTTCATAGAGAGATTTCTCTGCAGCTTGAAGAGCTAATGCATCATGAAACATACAGGGCTTCTCTTCCATGTCCTCTTCCATGAGCATCTGGCTTATGTACTTGAGGACAGTGTCTGAAAAGTCGCTGTCGTCACAGAGAAAGCTAGAATCCCCCTCTTTTTCCATGCTCGGGAAAGAAGCTAAATTGCTAGAACTTAAATACTCTGATTCAGGAACAACTGGGGCTTCCGAGGAACTCAGTCCTAAAGATTGGTTATTGGATTCAAAAACATTTGAAACCTCCACATTTTGGTACCCATTTGGATCCGAAAAAATAACCCCATCACCAAATTCGAAACCATTTTCTGAATAAGGGAATCTATTGAACGTTGAATCCATAATAGATCAATACCCTCTACTCTGCTGCAGGCCAGCTAAAATCAATCAACCGACACAAAAGCCCCAAATTTTCAACAGAAAAAGGAAAGGACTTTCCGCCTAAACCTTAGAAAGCATTCAAAGATGTATGCATAAAGAAAAAGACCCATCAAGCTGCAATCAAATTTTCTCAGGTGGGTATCGTCAAAATGAAATCTTTACCTGACTAACACAATCCAACCTCCAAAACGAAGCCCCCCCCAACGGATCTAGAAATTAACTCCGAGAGACTAAGACAAAGAACGAAACTTTAACTGAAAATGAAGTGAAAAAATATCCAATGTAATGAACTGAGAAAACGTGCTGACCTGGGACACAGAGATCA